TTTGTTGACCTTTGTCCATGGAAGGTCCCTGCAAAATTTCATTGAAATTGGTTCAGGGGTTTTGGAGAAGAAGATTTTTGAAATTTTAGTCAATTTGACCCTTTTTGGCCCCGCCCCTCAGGCCCCTGGGGGCTTAAGACTAAACCGGCAACTACTTTTGTTGACCTTTGTCCATGGAAGGTCCCTGCCAAATTTCATTGAAATTGGTTCAGGGGTTTTGGAGAAGAAGTCGAAAATGTAAATTGTTTACAGACGCACGACGGACGACGGACTTTGTCTCAGGTGACCTAAAAATGCATACCTGGAAAGACTTTGCTAAGATCTAGACTAGCCAAAAACAACATTTAATCACTAGGCCGGCCATATTTAATAACGAATTCACAATAGATCCTATGGTCCAAACGTAATCCGTTAAACGAAAGTACGGTTTTCGGAAATAACTTACTCTATTTTTGTAAGCGTCTTAAAATTACATACCTGTATTCATGAACCCGCTAAAGCTCAGGTGACCTAAAAGTATGGTCCTAATATGTCTGTGATAACCAGCCTGAAACAATAAATAAATGTTCCTAATGTTTGTTATAGTTAATACAAGTTTATAACCAGTCTGAAACGGTTAATAAATGTCCATAACCTGTCTGTGCATTTGTACGGGTAATAATACAATTTTATCAAATCACTTTTAAAACATTTAGAGGAAATCCGTGAAGAAAATCAAGATAAAACGTTGTAATGACTAAATTCATAGTTATACATGCATGCAGGAGGATCATTTTCCTTCAGTTATGAAATACATAGGAACATCCCTTTCTCCCCCACTTACACCCATCTACCTTCTAATGCTTAACCTTTTAAAATAATGTAAATACCGCTATAACCAGACGTGTATTTGAGGACTCTTACTTTCACTTTCACATACTTCATTTCTGGTTAAGAAATACGATACTGAGGCTTCCGATTAGGTGCCTTACCGTGCACAGCTCCCGGTAGTTATATAACATTCGCCGCGGACATGGCCTATCGAATGACTGGCAGACACATTTCTCCCTAAAACATGGTTGTCATACATGCACACATTGACTTCGAATTCATTTATGCAACCAACAACCTAACTGTATTATAAAATTGTGTTGCAATCAATTCCTACTATGAATTTATAACAAATTATCGGAGCAAACTCACCACCCAATCTTGACGAGGTTGAAACAGGGGACAGCACTCTAATTTCAAATTTTATATCAATTTGTCACGTGGCCTCAGACCACAGTTAATTCTTTTATATGTTACTTCCAAAGAAAAAACAAAATTAAATTATTTTAAAACTTTGCGCACGGTCTGGTTCCTATTTCATACTGCAGGTCTATTCACACTGAACATACAGTGAGCTGGAAAGTTCCTCATGACCGTCCTTTAAGAAAGATAATTTCATTTGAATGTCACTACCAAAAATCACAAAATATCACTCAAGCATCATCACTCATTGTGTCCTGCTGCCAATACAAGCTTGGAATCTGTCAAATAAAATTTAATCACTAGAATAGATATTGTTGAACAATTTATGTAAAACAATGTACATACTTGTCATAGATCAGACAGGAAAAAATATTTAATAACCCATCTGAAATGTCCTTATGCACTACATTCGTAGTACAACGACCCGGAAGTGTAATTGTGGTCTGAGGCCACGTACGCCAAAAGTACTCGGCTACATGCAAGGGGAGACAACCCCTATAGCTTTCCCGATCTTTTTACCATAACGCCGTCCATTGAATAAGAAATAGCCGGAAATATTCACAAATTCCATTTGTTTATATACTGTATGCGTATCTGTTACAGTCAGATAACTGTTTACGTGTGCATAATAGAACTTGTACTTGTCCAGCGTTGGTGAAATGCTGAATACGCTCGGCTGGCCATCACTAAAAAAAAGACGCAAGGATATGCGCCTCAGTACCTTCCATAAGATTTACACAACCAAATAGCCATATCCATGGACATCTTAAAGTCCGTATCACGTCTCACCAGGCACGCCCATGCTCATTCATTTCAAGTACCTTCTCGTAAAACCCAGGTCAGAAAACAGTCATTTCCCCCAAGAACAATATCTGATTGGAACCGCCTCCCTCCAGACATCTGTGAACTTAATAAAATAACTGCCTTCAAATCAGCCATAGCTAAATTACCATAATCCCTATTTATTCTGTTTTTAAAAAAAAAAAATATTTATCTATTTACTTTTTTATTTTTCCTTTCTTATGCAATGATCTCCAAATAACATAATATTCAACTTGTTGAAGGCGGTTATTATAATGTAGAAGTAAAAGTAGAACTGTTTGTATGTGTGATGTTTGTCGATTAAATTGTTCCATATTTATCAGTTATATTCATAATATTGATGTATTTCACGAGATGTCAGTAATGTTTGTGTTGACACATACACTCGACTCGTCATAGGGTTTTCGGGTGCACGTGTGATCCTGTTTATAACAGGTGTTCGGCTATTTTGCCGTGGTTATAATTATTTTTAGACATGATAACACTGAGTGACCCTAATTAGTGTCCAGGGAGTGTACAGGAAGGTTTTCGCGCGCCCAGGAATTCATTATTTTTTATTGTTTTCTTTGTTCTTCTGATTCATACATTTCATTCATTTACCTAGTTGTATGCAAAATTTAATGTCGATCGTAACAGTAGAAAGTACCGAAATACCCCAGTGGGCACAAAGTGTCATGAAAACGTTTCAGTTACGTCAGGACACAACGTTGCATTTAGGTAGCAGTAACGTTGCAAATGAAAGTTTGCGGGACATTTTCAAGTGACGTTCGCAAAACGTTTGTGGGTAACTTTTTGTTAACGTTGTACAGACGTCTCCATGTCGTATTTATGATTTCATATATACAGGAGATCGTAACAAATATCTTAAATACATTCACATATGCTATACTGATATGAATCACAGAACATCAGCATACTAAGCATATGTATTTATAAGATATTTGTAACGAAACCTGTAATGCAGTCGAATAAAACACAACAAACACAGCGTAACAAGTGCAAATGTTTAATTAGCAGTTTGAATACGTTTGCAAATATCAACTACTTGAGTAAATAATTGTACAAGTTTTTGTCGTTCAGTCTGCATTTTTACACAGCGCACAAAAACTTTTTTTGCTAGATTACACTCATTCTATATAAAAAGCATCTAACTATATTATACTGTGCTATCATTAACTATAGTGTAATCAACAGAGTGTGTGTAAACATCTGACACATGCATTCTCGTATTCAAGATAAATTAGCTGTGCGTATGTGTTGCTTTCATATACAATGAGTGTAATCTAGCAATGAAATATAATTTACACATGTCATTTATTCAAGTAAAAATAGAAAATTCAATGATATATTAAAAATTGTGGAAGTAGTTTCATACGACCATAATGGTACAGACTGTAACATACACAACTGTATAGCGTCATTTCGTTGTTTTGTCGATAAATAAATAAATTTACCTCATTTACTCGATTCGTTTACATTTTGTACACCACTAAATAATTGTATCATTTTGACCCACTTGGTCGTCTATAATAATATGGCTAAATATATATATACTTCAAAGATTGTTATAAAAATTATATTTGAGAATAAAATGAACTTCATCCTCGTTATCGTTTGTTTGACATAATGCACAGGTTCTTGCTCTCTCTGCTGATTTCTATATCTGACCTATTCTATATTAAAATTGTGTTAGCTTAACCTAAATCTAACTATGTGTTTTTGTACTGCTCATCTATAGGCTTACACAAGTAGAATCGTAAATAAATATCAAATAATATGCTGATATATTTTACCTCTAGAAATATATGAATATCGGATAATAAATTTGTAATTGGCAAACTTGAAACGGAGCATATACCTTATCTTAGGTTCTGTTTTGTTTTTTAAATCATGTTGTTGAACCAAATTCATTATCGGTCATGTGTCCGATCAACCACAACAAGTATAATACGTCCGTAATTGAGCACCGAATTTTCTCTATTGCGACAACGCTTGTTAATTAATAAATACTTTAACAAGTATTGGAGGGAAACCGATGTACCTGGCATGGGAAAAGAAAACCCAGTTCATAATGATTATTGGATAATAACTGCCGATAATAACCTGTACACAACAGGTAGACTTACCTGTATAAACTAGTCACACATTCCTCTGTTGTAACGGTTGTACTGGACAGGGTGACAGGAAAACTTAGTCTTGCAACAAGTTCTTGGATAATCACTGTCGATAATTAATATCGACAGGAGTACAGACGTTTTTAGACTGTTCAGAGATTCCTTGAAAATAACCCTACACATGTCTAATGGATTTTCATGATGTTGGACACATGGAACATATGAAGGATGTATGTATTACTTAGTCATTCATGGAGTCATTCATGGAGCTGTTACATCACTTAGACATTGATCCATGTCTAAGTGATGTAAAGGGGAACCAATCTGGTGATCACCTTGCTGTCCACACAACACTGAATTGTAGTAAGCCAGCTCGTGCAAGGAAAGAAGTGAGCTTCCGGAAATTCCGCGAAATTTCAATACCAGATTTCAACAATGACATTCAGTCTTGTTCCGCCCTTCAATCTACTGAAGGCAAGGTTGATGATCTTGTTGAAGCATACACATTTGGTATAGAAGCCGTTATAGAGAAACACGCACCTCTGCAAACTAAGGTGATAACTGTGAGACCGAATGCCCCGTGGTATGATGAACATCTCCGCGTGGAAAAAAAGAAACGTAGACAAGCAGAGAGACAGTGGCGACGGACAAAATTAACCGTTCACCAACTGATATATAGAGAGCAATGTCGGCTAGTTGGTTCACTGCTCTTTCAGTCAAAGAAGGCTTAATATTCGGAACAAATCGAAGAATGTGGCAAGGATAAAAGACAACTTTTTAGACTCACCAAAAACCTAATGGGACAGAAAGGTGAAATTATCCTACCAAGCTGTAATTCTGAAAA